ATATATATATATATATGTATACAGTTTGGTTTATTCCTCCAAGTACTTCACCACCATTGTTGCTCTCTCCTGTCAGGGTATGAATTACCTGGAAGAGAACAGGATGGTTCACAGGAATCTGGCTGCCAGAAATGTACTCCTGAATGATAATTTCACTGCCCAGGTTTCAGACTATGGCATTGCAGACCTGCTCTACTCTGATGACAAGAAGTACTATTGCAACGAGCCCAAGGTCTGTTTTCTTTTTTGTTTTTGTTTCTTAGCAGAAAACGTGACATCTGGTCACACTTCTTTAAACAGTGTTAAATACCTTGCACACCTTAAAACATTATGCTGTTTTCTTTCAAAGACTTGACTGCTTGTTCTGCTGTTTTTACTCAAGTAACCAAGAGAGAACTTTTCTGTTCACAATCTTAGACACCAATCAGGTGGATGGCCCTGGAGAGCATCTTGTTTCGCAGATACACTCATCAGAGCGATGTTTGGAGTTATGGTGAGTTTTAAAGCGCTTTACCAGCGCCAGATTGTTTCATACTCACGTATTAAAGTACGCAAATTTCGGAGTCAGTATAGGAGAAGTGTAAATGCAGGCCACACTAAATTCTTCACCCTGCTTTAGGTGTGACAATATGGGAAATGATGTCTTATGGAGCAGAGCCGTATTCAACGATGCGACCACAGGAGGTTCCCGATCTGCTGGAAAAGGGCGAGCGTTTGCCCCAGCCTCAAATTTGCACCATAGATGTCTATATGGTCATGGTTAAGTGTGAGTACCTCACTAGTATTTCTCATTTTCATGTGCAGCCAGTAGTGCAAATACCAGTGGCGTGGACTGAGGGATTGCAAAAAAAATATGTTGGACTAAAATGCCTGTGTGCCATTAAGTTTAGTATAAATTCATGGAGCTCAGAAGATGATTTGGTTCATAAACCTCTGATTTTTTATCTGCCACGTCCATTAGGCGTGACATATGAATAAAATGTTAAAACTAATTTGCACATTTTAACCTGACAGACATTAAAATAAATATGAAAATGACTGAAAGCCGCCGAGTATTAAGTAGGCTGTCAATTCTTCATTTTGTAATTGGTTCCGATGCCCTTTCATGACTCTCCAGGTTGGATGATTGATGAGAATGTCCGTCCAACATTCAAGGAGCTGGCGAGTGAATTTACCAGAATGGCCAGAGACCCACCTCGCTACTTGGTGATCAAAGTAAGACAGTTTCATCACAGTACAGTAAAGTGGCACTTCAGTTAAAGCTATGTGTAGTTTGCTATATATATGATTTACCTTGTTTGGCCAGGAGGACTGTAGCCAACAGGACTCATCCCCAGATGAACCCGTCCAACGAAGTGCAGACCTGGATGACTTGGATGATGTAGATGTCAACCTTGAGGACCCGTTGGCAGATGAGAAAGAAGATGACTTGTCTCCAGCCAACTACTACATGGCAAAAAGTCTCAATCGTTACTCTAGGATGGACACTCCCAAAGTAGGGCATACCACTTTCCTCTTAACTTAGTGTCAACTTTATAAATCATATTCCTGGGCAAGATACTGAATCTCAAAATTTCCCCAATGCACGATTTTTTTTTCTTCAAGTGTTTAATGAATGTGCATGTGTGTGTGTGTGTGTGTGTGTGTGTGTGTGTGTGTGTGTGATATCATCCATTTACTGTCTCTTTTCTTATAACAGGTGATTCTTAATTCATCCAGCGGAACTGGATACCTGCCCATGACCTCAGGTGTTGACAACCATACACAGGTAGATAAAAGAGACTTTTGTTTTGTTAAACCAATTCGTAGTGTTTATACACATGACCAGAACGAGTCCACTGAAGATTTCTGCTGTTACCAGTTTGCCAATAGAGTTCTGATTGTGTTTTGTTGGGTAGGCGATGTGGCAGTCACGCTCTCGGCTAAATTCTGCCCGTACTGTGTCCGAGAGCTCGGAAGGCTGCGGCACTGGAATGGAGATGGAGATGGGTGAGGACTTCCCCTTAGCAGGGAGCCTGAAAAGAAGACGTCATCGTGAGGACAGCGCTTACGTGTCGCAGAGAGACAGCATGTCCGGCGGGCCACCTGAGACTCCCTCACCAGAGATGGAAGAAGAAGATCAAAACGGATATGTGCTTCCTGGAGGGAGCCCGGAGAGAGGTGATACCATAATTGTTAATTTACAACACACTAACAGTTACCACTTGGAAATGAGCAGCAGCCCTAAAGATTAGCTGTACTAAGCCAGCTGTTTAAAATACTTTGTCTTTATAGCCCCAGTTTAGCTAGTCTTTGTTTTTTACTGTTATCTGTTTCTTTCAGATACGTTGCTTTTCTCATCGCGAGCTGCTCCTGGGAGGATGGGAAAGTCTCGTTCATCAGAGCTCCTGGACGACCCAGATGATGAAGAATACGAGTACATGAACAAGCAGGTGTGTTTAACACCTGTATCACTCAGGCAAGGCAGCCAGTGGCTGAAGCCGAACAAGAAGCGAACCTCTTCAATGTCATCACACGTGACAGCGTCCTCATGTGACACCGGTGTGTCGGTGGAGGTCAGGGGAAGCTACACCAGGAGCAAGGACAACTCTGACTCCGAGCAGCAGGGTTCCAGTGAAGTTGAGTATGAATACATGGACATCAGAGGCGGTGAAAAGCTGGAAGGTCCGCCAGTACGTGACCCTCCTCCTCCTCCAGCTCCTGTGAGGATGAGCAGCAAGGTGGAAGAGGAGGAGGATGAATACGTGGAGGACGGTAACTATCATTACACAAACAGGCAGCCAAAGCTACGACAGGCTCTTCAAGACAAGAAAGAGCTGAATGTAGAGGGGACAGAGGCAGATGAATACGAGGATATGGACTGCTTTTCTGCCCCACCACCTGGCGGAGATGGTGTGGTGTATCAAAACTTACAGAGGGAGGAAAATGGGGCAGCGGGGCGCAGAGAGCAACACCAGTCTATGCGGGCTGGAGTCAGGGTCACGGAGCCTGCTGTCGGTGACAGATCTTTCGACAACCCAGGATACTGGCACAGCAGGCTGTTTCTTAAGCCCAGTGCTGTGCCAACATGAAGAACATTTTAAATCTCATGGACTTCCCTCTCAAACACAGTCATGAAGGATCTGAAATGAGAAAAGCAACCAAAAGCCACGTTAAAGATGTAGCATGTAACAAAATGTACAAACCCCCCCAAACAACACGTGACTATTTTGCAGCTTTGTCCTTTGTTATACATCAAAATTGTTTTTATTATGTGATACAAGCTATATTTTTGTGTTTACATTGTAAATAAAGAGATTTCAGGTAAGAAATTGTGACAATATCATTTGAAGAATCATTTAAAGATGTTTACTCAATAAAAATATTTTGAATACTTGGTATGGAACTGCAACATTTTTATTTTAAATGAGCTGGTGAACTGTATAATGATGCAAAGTGTGCAACCTGTCAAAGGGCGCACATCTAATTACAGATTAACAAATATCCTTGGCTCCCACAGGAGAAATATAATTATTAATGTTTCATTGTTCTCAGCTACAACTGGGGGAGAAGTCAGTTACACCCTGTAAAAGGTGCTAGAAGCAAAAAAACAAACAAAAAAAACCCCACAGTTATTATCCAAAAACTGAGAGAAACTAGCTTTTACACCATTTGGCGAGCCGGTCGTGACCCTCGTGCCGGATGTTTCACAGCCATGGTTTAAACAGTTGGTAGCGCGACTTTATTGGCGGGCTGGGGTCGCTTTACGTCAGGGTGAAGTGGGAGGGGCTTGCGGTAGCAGCTTCGGTCAGAGCTGAGCCGAGGGGAACTGTCGCTGTCCAGAGCCGACTTGCGACTTCAGACTACACTGCCAAGATGTCCGACGACGAGCAAGAACAGACTATAGCCGAGGATCTGGTCGTCACCAAGTACAAGATGGGCGGTGACATCGCTAACCGTAAGTTAATGTCAGCGAGTAACTGTCGGTGACTGGATGTGACGACCTGCTCTTTTCGGCCTGTCGTACAGCAGCTAACATTGGTTCCTTATAGCAGCAACCATGTGGTTTAGATTCGAAGCACACATATGCTATCACATCTAGCTAGCTACCAGGTGCAGCCGGGTCGGTTGAAAGCTGCTTTTATCTGAATAACTAAACGACTGCTCAGCTTTCTGCTATTGTTACCCAACAGCAGCGATAGGGTTTCTTACAGGCAGCTGTCTGTGTCACTAACTAGTGTGGGATGCTAACAAACCAGCTAGCTCAGAATGGTGACCGGTGTTCGGCTGTAAATGTCACGTAAACGGTCACGAGCTGAAGCTCTTTTAAAATACGTTTATGGTGACAGATGACATTCATGGTCAGTCGACAGCATGAAAGTTGCTCTAAAATCATTCACATAAGGCTTCTTTGTGCATTTAACGACCAGCACATTGTGGTTTCATGATCACTGCTCCATTATATGATGAAAACACAGGAAACACCTGCATTCTATAGATCTCAAACATCGCACAAGATGTATGGTTGTATTTAACAATTTAAGCAGTAATTAGGTCGAGGTACTTGGTCAGATTAATGCTGTAAGGAAAATAAACTTATCCATTTAATCTATTTGGATGGATAGTGCAGTCGGGAGATGGGACATATTTGCTGTGGCACTACCTCATAGTACATTAAATGCATATCCTGGCCACCACAGTTTATATTTACACTCTGTGTTTGTGTTACAGTGGTGGTCTGGAGCTTATCTCAGCTGTCATAGGTCTAGCATGCTAACATAATCAGAAAAAAAAAACTTATAGTGAGCTAATGCATCAACCTGCCTGACTTCCCTCCTGTCTCATCCAGAGGCTCTCCGTCTGGTCATGGAAGCAGCCAAACCCGGGGTGTCAGTGCTCAGTCTCTGTGAAAAAGGTGATGCCTATATAATGGTAGAGACCGGGAAGGTCTTCAAGAAGGAAAAAGAAATGAAGAAAGGTGAGGCCCGCATCTGCCCATTATGGGTTTTTGTGTTTTTTGTGTTTTTTTTTTTTATGTTTTTTTCCTGAGGTGGACACATCAAGGAAATTAGATCCAGTAGAACAAACTGTTGGCAGTGTTTTCTGTGTCATTTCGCACAGCATCGAGTAACTCTAATAGCAGAAGGGGCTTTAAAAACTAGCATGGTGACAGAGTAGATCTTCTAAGTGATATACTCCTCCATACTCCATTCTTGTATGGCTTTCTTGATTACATTTGTGGATAATTTCCAAATGAAGACTTGGTGGTTCTCTTCTCCCTCTTCTAGGCATTGCGTTTCCTACCAGCGTCTCAGTCAATAACTGTGTTTGCCACTTCTCTCCCCTGAAGAGTGACCCTGACTACACACTTAAAGATGGGGATCTGGTCAAAATGTAGGCACCATGCACTGTAATAATGTTACCCCCTCCTTTCCCCGTGTGTCTCTAGTCTCCCAATGTATTGTCCTCCCTACTTTCTGTGTGATAGCTCCGCTTTCTCTTTGCTGTTGATTGTGTCCTTCATCTCTATGGTCTTGCCTCTTGTGTGTGCTGTGTGTGTGGCAAACGACAAGTAAGGTTTCTTTTTAGAACGGGTGGTATGCCGGATGTTAGCTTTACTGCCCATCTTATCCGCTAAATCCCATATATGACGTTTCTCAAATGCAGTATTTGGCTTTGAAAAAGAAAGTCGATTCATCTTAGTTGTTGCGTTGCCACTAATGTCTTTGTCCTCTGTAACGTCTTTGTGCTGTGTGTGGATATTCAGTGTTGTAAAGATGTTTCTTCAAGTGTCGTGATGTGGTTTTTATATTTTCTGGGTTTTTTTTAATGTGTCTCACTTTGCTAACCTCTTTGCTGGGCACGTCTGGAAAGTTTAATACAGTCGGTAATGCTGTTGCCTTGAATTCATAATAAGTCCTTCACCATATTCCAGCTGATCTACTGCCAAAAAAGAAACTCACCTTGGGTTATAGCTTCCATTTATTGCAGATTAAATTGTGTATTTTTGTCTGACCTTCTCTTATTATTGTAGTCCTCACTAAGCTAATTTTCCAAAGTGGAACGATCTTTTGTCCTTCCCAGTAGATTTGATCTGATTGCTTCCTGCATCAGTACTAGTACATTTGACAGCCGGGTAGCACTTAATTAAAGGCATGATCTGTATCCTACAGTTAGTTAATTCTTTCGTTTTTCCTTTTCTTCTGATTTTGTGTAGCGATCTCGGAGTTCATGTTGATGGCTTCATCGCCAATGTTGCTCACAGCTTTATCGTGGGAGCCAGTAAGGTGAAAAAACAAAAAAGCAGACACGTGTACATATCACACCTTGGTCACAGTTTTGTATCATCTCGTGTGAGTCCTGAAGTCGTCTTTTTTGTTTTTCTATATGCAGGAGAACCCCGTCACAGGCCGGAAAGCTGATGTGATCAAAGCAGCTCATCTATGCGCAGAAGCAGCGCTACGCCTCGTGAAACCTGGTAACCAGGTATGTTTGAGTGTTTCATGAGGCTTTTCCACGTCAGCTGTGATCAGGACTAATATTCTCTGCAGGGGTGTGCTTTAGTCATCAAAACATCTAAATGACTTGTTGTAATTATTAATTTGGCACAGATCTTACTTTTAATGCATTTTTGATAAGTGGAAGAAAATTAATGGATGTGTAATTCGCTTCAGTAGTGCTTCTTTGCTACTCTTTAGTCCACATTTTTCTGGCTCGAATACCATCATAGACTAGTTCTGCTACAAACTAGGTGTAAACTTATTTGCAGTCTCACATGTATTTTAACGGTTATCTCGTACAAAGATGTAATTTGGATGTGAAAGTAATTAATTTTCTCTGCCTCAGAACACTCAAGTGACAGAAGCCTGGAACAAGATCGCACAGTCGTTCAAGTGCACACCTATTGAGGGTGAGTTCCTATAAAAACCTTTGTATTTTAATGTGCTGTCTGTCTTCACATACAGTGGGGCAAAAAAGTATTTAGTCAGCCACCGATTGTGCAAGTTCCCCCACTTAAAATGATGACAGAGGTCAGTAATTTGCACCAGAGG